TAGTACTACCTACCCTTAGCTCCTTCTTAACTACCACCACTATTCAGATAACACTTATCATGGGTTAGGGTTAGTTAACATTTGTGAGCTTGAGATCCAACCCAATATTATGTGAGTTTTGGTGGTGTTGAGTAAGTCACCAATAGCCTGTGCTCTAAATATGTCCACTTTGCCTCAATTTGAGAATAAAAAAAAAAGCTAAACCCAGCAAATATAAACAACTTTGAAGCTATTTCTGTCTAAAGTAATTTTCTCTGTCCAAACACAACCTATGGTTGCAATGAGAGCATGTCAGATTCAGCAGATCAGGTAAAGAGAGGAGAATTTGCACAAGGTTCCGGTCTAACATTTCCTAATGCAGCGGAAACAAAATACTTTGCCATAATTAGGGTCACCGCCTTTTTTCGTTAGTTAATTATCAGATTGGTTGTGAAGTTGCTCAGACAACCACTTTTTGCCAATAAATCTTATTTTAAGACAGGCTATAGTCACTGGATACGCAGCTAGCTCATTATGCTCTTCTCTTCAGGTTTCCTAAAACATGAAGCCTTTTACTCAGCTAGCACACAGGTTCTTCCCCTAATTGGAGGAAGTGGGAGAAAATGCCGCTTTGCACAAACATTTTAAACTGAATCATGTCTCTAAAAATCCAACACTGAAACTCATCTTAAGTCATCGTTTCCTCCAACTACTCTGCCAAACAGAAGCCATATTGTCCTCATACCTTCCAGACTCTTGCAGTTTGTAGCTGTAGAAGTTGTGGTTGCTTTGCTATGGCAGCTAAATGTCAGCTTAGGTTTGCTCCGCTGTTTTCACTTCAGTCACTGACCCAGAAACGTGGTCTCCCCTCAGCTTGCTGCCCTGCAAAGGCCATTTCTCCTCTCTGTTTGAAGTGTCTAACCATTCTTCTTCTGATCTTCTTTTCAATATATTTCCAGTGATTTCAAAGGCCTTCCTGTATTTTTCTTTAGATTTCCATCTTATTTAATCATTTATTTTCTCCCTGTTTTGTTTAAATCCCTTCCTTGTTTTCTGTACCTTGTCTTCTTCCCTTTACTCCCTTTATTCCAAACCATCTCTACTTTCTTTTTCTTTGACAGGAGCAGCAGCTTTGACTGGGGCTGTGACTCATACCGTTTCTACAGCCGTTATTTGCTTTGAGCTGACTGGCCAGATTTCCCACATTCTGCCCATGATGGTGGCTGTAATCCTGGCGAACATGGTGGCCCAGGGCCTGCAACCCTCCCTGTATGACTCTATCATCCAAGTCAAGAAGCTACCATACTTGCCAGAGCTTGGCTTTGGACACATGAGGTTTGTGTCAATTGCATATACAAGGATTATCTAAAGGATCTGTCATGGACCTCATTTATGTGTTAGACATTAAATGGGTTTGGATTGCCTAGAAAACAGTTTTTAAAATGGCCTGCTTGCTGAAAAAGGACTACTTAGTGACTTATGCAAATTAAAAAGCTAAGAAACTGAGAACACATGGTCGTCCTCAACAGTTAAATCTCAGAGAAGGGATTTATGGATTAACTAGTTGTTCCCCCTTTCTTAGAACATATTTTGCCATATATGCGGATGGCATGCCGTTTTAAATCTCTGTCACAATATGATCAGATAAACAACTACAATCTAAAGTTCTCTTTTGACACTGAATGATATAACATAGAACCCAGCAATTAATCAGGTACCTTGGAGTTCTCTGGGCTAAACCTGAATTATATAAACCGGGGTTTAGATTAGATGCTCCACACACCTGGAACTTAGTCCCAGAAAAAGAGATGCAAACACTGATGGTTAAAACCATAATTTCTTACTGCAGCTTCGTCTTAAGCAGCACTTTTTTTTTTTTATCATTAATTTTGATCATGCATAGAAATTGGTTTTGTTTTAGGCTTTATATTATGGTTTTTATATGATAATCATTAATTATCTTCAATGTATTGTCTCTATCCCTGCAGCCAATACAACATCTTTGTAGAGGATATTATGGTGAGAAAGGTGAAGTTCATATCCTCTCAATCTACATACAGAGAAGTAAAACATCTGCTGGACTCCTCCTCACTCAAAACAATCCCTTTGGTCGATTCAAAAGGTGTGTTTATCCTATATCCCTGTAGGACAGCTAAAACTGAACAGGAACACATTTTGAACATCAAAAGTCAGTAGCTGGACCAAATCTAGAAAATTATTATTTTTTTAATATAATAGAAATGTATTTTATGTTTTTTGTTGAATTCAAATGATCTTTCCTTGTTTTTAGATTCTATGATTCTCTTGGGAAGCATTGACCGAGTGGAGCTTTTAGCTCTCTGTGATTGGTGGCTGTCACCAGAGAGAAGGCTTCTAATGAAGGTGGGGTCATTAGATGGAACTAAATCATTTTTTATGTTGTTAAGCATTTCTCTCGTTGTTACTTCAACATGTAATAATATAAGTTTCCCTTTTAAAAACTTCTTTCCCTTGGATAAATCACAGAAAGTCCCAATATGCTTTTCATGGACACATTCTTATGCTTCCAGAAGCTCATCTTTATTTCTGCATTATCCATAGTGGCTTGTAAGAGTGTATTAATTTCCCTGGTTGGGAAAGTTTCCTCTATAAAACAGTTACAAAGTCATTGCAGATGCAAAAATTAGATTATGTTTTGTTGAAATACTGACTGTCAGTAATAGAGAATTTTTGTCTTTTTCATGGACATTGATGATGCAGTTTCTGACTCTTTTGTCCAATGAGTGACCCAGAAAAGGGCCATAAAAACACAAATAATTTATCATATTTGGTCAGTATTGGCATACAAGACATTAAGTGTGATAACATTAATGTCTACCAGTAAATTCAATACACACGCACCTAAACGTGTGTGTGCTGTTGTTTTGTGTACTTGTTTTTTGTACCTATAGGCACTAGGCATTGATCCCAACAAGAAGTCAGTCCCCAAAATGTGCTATTTTTTCCCCACGATGTATAAAAACACTCACACACAAGCTGTGCTTCAATGTTTTATGGGGTCTTTTCATTAACTTCCATTAATTCGTATGACCTAACCCAGACCCTAACCATTACCAACATATACCTAACCCTAACGTTAACCTAAACTAATAAATTCCCACCTTAGTCCTAATTCTAACCTAAACCCTAAGAAGAAAACTTATAAAATGAATACCAGTTGAGTTGTCCACATCAGCTCCCCACAATGTAGCATATTTAACAGAAAATTGTCTTGTATTGGGTAAAAAAGTAACAAATATAAGTCCTTAGATTTTCACAGAATTGTAAACATGTGTAACTAACTTGTACCAGAGTGGTTCTCATGACTGCGTCCATGCAGGGTAACAAGAAGATAATAAGCTGTGGTTCTTTGGGGGTTATAAGAAAGATCAAGTTTCTTCTGTTCAACAGGATCAATATGATGATTATCTCATTATATTGAATAGTTCTGTTTGGAGTGTGGGCATGTACCATTTCCACTGGACTTGGTAAAGCAGATCACATGACTCTACTGTAAGTTCTCACTGACTTTTGAAATGTCCTACTTGTACAGTATCAGAACCTTTTTTTTTGCCTTCCTGTGCCTTTCCTACTCCTAGGACTATGAGCCTATGATTTCTATAAATAATTTTACCAGAAAGGAGTACTGTAGCCCTTCATCAGCAGTCCAGTACTTTTATCTGTAGGTCAGTGTACCGTCATTGTTTCAGGCTCAGCATTTTGTTAATACAATCATCTACTGGCCAAGTCCTGGATGTTTGGTTGTTGTACCAGTTGAAGCAAAGACTCGTGCTACGGTCTACACAGCATGTGACTCTCAGACTCCTAAAAGGTATTTCTCTCTGACAAAGTCGGGGAAGCTCCCTGTTGCCTGTGCACCTTTATCTAAAACACTCCAGCTTCCAATGTTTTTGTGTCATTGGCAAGAAATTTCAACCACCTGCATTGCCTACTAAGGGTTGTCAGAGGTCCCGTTGGCACCAGTGTACGGCAGCCTCACTTCTGTCACTGAGCCCCAGGGCAGATGCGGCTACATTGTAGCTTGCCACCACCAGTGTGTGCGTGAATAACTGAATGTGGTGTAAAGCACTATATAAGCACAAGCAGTTTACCATTTTTAAAGTTTCCACCATACAGTACTTTCTGTATATATGCTTGTTTTAGCAGTGTGTCTTTATCCTCTTCTGTAGAATGTCATTGCTGGATAATTCCAACTGTCAACTTTCTTCCAAGTGATTGCGAATCTCATAACTTGGCATTAAAACAAAATTTTTCTTTTCAGGGGTACCAAACTACAGCACGCAAAACTACCATCCTGAAACTTTTCAACATATTTAGTTTATTTCTGTTGTATTTCATTCAGCAACAAGCTATCGTTTAATCGCGGTGTGCTGAAGAGGCAACGCAGACCTGGATCAATGAATGGATTGTTTCCAGATGTTGATTAGGAAATTTGACCAATTAATTCAAATGGAGAACAAATTTCATAGTTACAGGACTGTGACCTTTGACGACAGGACTCGTTTTTGAAACACTTTATTTCTGAATGACATGATATGCAGACATTTGTTTATCTTCTGTGGTATGCTTCCATTTTTTAAGGATTTTTAATGGCAAAATAAAAAAAACAAACAAACTAGATTTATAGTCAAGAAGTCTGAACAAACGTTACAGAGAGTCTTTTGTGTGAATTGCGCTTGAAACTTTGAGCAAAGCCTGCAAAGTTCTGTGTACACTGTAGATGATACAGTGTTAGATGTAAAACCCTTAAAGTCTACACATTTATCAGAATTAATTTACTTTAAAATGTGTTCTTGGGTGTGAGCTCAGGGTCCGAGTCTGCAGGAGCAGGACCAGGGTCCAAAAAGCAGCTGGGAGTCCTTTGCTTTTGTAGATGAGGAGGAAGATGAAGAAAGAGTGAAGGTGAGCCAGTGATGTGCTTTATCCTTTTGAGAGCTGTTTATACTTTTTCTTATTTTTTTAAAACTAAATAAAACTTAAGTTATACATGTACTCTGTAAAGACAAGTTTATCATTATAATATATAGATTTGTAAACCTCTACAATTTCTTGCTATATTCAATCATTTGGAAAGAATTATATTGTTTTGTGAGTAAGTTTTAGAAAACCTTGGATTGTTGCTGAATTAACAAGGGAAATGTCGGCCAAAGCTCCATGTTACTGACAAATAAGACTTCTTGAATTAAAATAACCAATGTAAACGATGGGATTTTTAAACTTGAAGCTTCAGATCCAGATTCCCGAGCTACATCTTGTCTGCAGGGCAGCCCTGTTCTAGAGGAGAGAAATGGCCCCCTTCCTCCTTCAAGGCCTCAGGAGACATCCTCCAACCACACAGCACCTGAAACTGGTGAGTAGAAAGGTCAATCAACTTTTAATCATTTATTCATCTCTGGAGAACATTTTGCAGGAGTAGAGGCCTAGTGGTTAGAGAGTAGGGTGTTTGTGTCCTGGAGAGTCTGCAAAGGTCACTGTTTTAAGGTCCAGACTTTCACTTTGGGTCCCTGACTCTTTCCCTCAGGGGTCGGGTTAAACACAGAGGACACATTTTCCCTCTTTGGGACAATTAAAGAATACTAACAAAATATGAAATATGATTTTATTGCTTGCTTAAGAAAATGTTATTTACACCATCATTTAGTCTAATTTCCTGAAAGAAAAAGCAGTTTTCAGCTTTGATGGAATTAGATGTAGTGAAGAATTTCGGTTAATTTAGTTAACGTACTTGATCTGGTGCAAAGCAATATTAGCTGCATTGATATTTAAAGGAAAAGTCTGGTCATATTCAGAATTCAAACTTCTGAAAGTACTTAAATTTTAAATTATTACATACTGTTTAATAGATGATAAGTGTTTTACTAAGAGTAATTTTCATTTGAAGATTTGAAACTTTACCAGAGACATCCATGTTTGTCAAAGAGCATTACTGCCACCTACTGGTTTGTGATGTCATGGTGCGGTATCAGCTGTTGATCAAGTCCCAATGCTGTATCTGGTGTTTGTCACAACGCGCTATTATCCAAGACATCTTGAAATCATTCTTCTTTGAAATATTGGCTACATATTACGTGTTTTTTCTCTGGCAAGAAGTTTGATGGCAAATCCTCCCTCTTCAAGTTTGCAATCTAACAACAAACCCATCATGAATCGGAAAGGTGAAATATCTAATTTGTTTTTTCACTTTTACCCGATGTATTCCAACATCCAGCTGCCATGCACGTGGCCATTGACACTTTAACAATCGCTCTTGCAAATTTCAATGGTGAAGTTCTCTCGAAATCTTAAAAAAAATTGTTTTTGATTGCAGGTGTGTAGCATAGTTCCTATTGATTTTGCTTGTAAAGCGGGGAGAATGGCGCTAGGCTTACCGCACTGTGGGGTCACTGCCGGAAATTGTCAGGAATGAGGTGTGACTATATTTGGGCATAAATGGGCATTCCCAGACTCAGTGATTGCAATGAAAATTATTGTTTTTTTTCTTTTACTGATTATCGATAAATTTGATAAATCACTGTGAATGTATTAGTTTTAGGTATAAATAATGATCCATTGATCATTCATTGCTAACTGGACTTTTCCTATAAGTGTAAAAAGTTTAAAAATTTCATTCAGCAAACATCAATTAACTTACCTCAGAAATTGTATTTGTTTTTATTGTTCATGTGAGTTTTGAGGAGTCCAACAAATTCCTTGGTATATTTGTTCAGCTGGTTGAGCTTTAAGCAAGAAAGCAAGTCAAAATTTCTCCTCTGGCTTTTGCTTTCATTTCATTTCATTCAGTTCTAGACACCAGAAATATGATATTTATGGAAAAGTGAAAAGAAGAAAGCCAGTGATGAAAGATTGCTATAAAATCTGGATTAAGGTTCCCTACTACAGCGAGAACTGAAATGGGAAAATGGGATTTGATGAGACCTTTGAGGGGTGAAACCTGTCATTTTGCATCACTGTGAACACTGCTGTGTGATTATCATTATGTGTTACAAATACACAGTTAACAATAAATTCACCTGAGCATTTGTAGCAATAACTATAAACTGCTGTTCATGTTGCAGAGATTCTCCATACAATCGTATGAAAATAGAGTGTTTCATAAAGAAGAATAGGCAGATTTTCAATCGATTTGAAAACTTCCCTTAAAAGATTTGTTGCAGTTATAATGGCTCTAAAAGGTAAGGAGTTTGAGCTGAAAAATAAAATTTAGAAACACGTTTATTTCATTTGTTAAAACAAAAAAAACTCTACATGATGTTCAGTTTTCCCCACATACAAAATCTCAGTAGAATATTTGTTGTCATAACGTAAATAATATTGAGGAGCATAAAAAAAAGCATATAGCTTGTGCACATCTTAATCATTTTGTCAAAATAAACAGCTTTATATCTGTATTTGTGCCACAAATCTTTCAGTAAATTTTAGCTTTTCAGCAAATGGCTTCAAGATGTTTGTTTCCCTGCACTTGACAGATATCCAACAATCAGACATTGTATCAGAGTATTCACAGTGAACAGGCAGATGGGTTTTGTGTTTTCCACCTAAGCTCTTCAGTAGCTTCTCAAAGTCGACTACAGGCAGCCTCCAAGGGAAGCAGTATCCAGGCAACCACAATAAAAAGGTTTCTTTGGTTCCAGCAGACTCTTATCATCACATTTGTAGTTAGCTTACTTTCTCTAGGTGCATTTGTATAATTCATCTACAGCAGCCTTTGGTTTTCCTTCAATCTTATTTCAGAAAAAGGTCCCCTGCAGTCGGTGAGGAGAACTCTCAGAAACCTCTTCAGCTCCCAGAAAAGACAGTCGGAGAAGGAAACGCAGGTGTGTCTGTGAAAGCAGTGGTTATTAAGTGTCATTCAGCATATGAGCTTGCTTTTTGTGTTACTTTCTGCCTGATCATTTATTGCTTTTTTTTCTAACAGCTATTCAAATGAAAAGGTTTTTTATAATATGAAACATAAAAAGGCAGACATTTCTTCCTCCTTAGCCACCAAAGTCATATGTATGTATTACTGGATGAACTTGTTAGCCTGTGAACTGTAATCTGTTTAGCTACAAGTGAAAGTGCTTCAGAAAAAACACTCCACAATCATGCCTTTTTCCTCCAATCTTCTCTCATATGAAAAGTTATTATATACGGCTTTGCAGCCAGTCTGACTCACAGGGGGAAACAAAGGCAGCCACCTGCAGGTGGGAAAATCACGCTGTGCACAAAGTGTGTGTTTGGAGGCTGGAGGGTTCAGGAACTGATTTCTGCTCTGCCAACTACTGAGTTTTTTAAATCTACTGCTTATCAATTACATATCCAGTCCTGGACCTCCAAAGGGAAAGTTTCTGCATCAAACCAAAACCAATTACTTCAAGCAGGCATGCAGAGGGAGGTTTTGCCAGCATACCACTCTAGCTGAAAATATTGATTCGGTTTAGTTCACTCTTCCAAATGACTATTGTAGTCATTCATAGAGATATTTATTGAAAGCAGAAACACCATCCTTTTTCTTTTTTGCTGAAAAAAAGTAAACTGTATTTTATAAGATTAAGTTATTTTTGTGGCTCGGAGTGAAAACTCACCAAGGCACCAAGTCACTGCCTGCAGGACACAAACCTCTCATAATTTCAAGATGCTATAAGTCACAGCTGGAGTTGGCCTACATTCCAAAAAGACATCCAATTTAGGCTGCTGATGAAGAGAGACTACAAGACATAAAATGAATAAATTAATAAAGAAACAAAAAGTAGACCTAAGTGCATTTGTAAGCGGGTTTTGAGTGCAGCCATTTTTTATTAGCTTACCATCTAAATGTCAGATTCAGAAAACTAATTCCCTTTATTGTTTCCCTGAAGGAGCCCTGCCCTCCCCCTCTGTCAGACCCGATGACATCAGAGGAGGTAGGTCAATGATGATTGATTATAAGAAATGTATCAATCTTGTTTATATTACATATAGATTTACATATATATAAAAATTTAATTCATAACCTTTTTAAATCTTACTTATTTTTAAAGTGACATATCACCATGTATTTAATTTTAAACCTTCTTAAAGCCCTAACGGTGATAGCTGATTCTGCTGATTGATGATGAGAGAATCCAAGTTTGCATCTTTGCTTTGCTTTCCACAAGAACATACCTGTGGCTCTAAGTGGAGATTTCTGTTGTTTTAACCTTTTTATTCCACCTTAAGAGATAAATCCAACAAAATTACATTCTGACAGAGAGCACAGTGTTTAGAAGTTTTTAAATATTAGAAATATCAGTATCCAAATGTGGCTGACTTCAGTCTGAAATCTGCTGCACTGGAGATTCAAAGCACGTAGCATTTTTCCGTGCTAATGCACCAAGGCAATACCATTCTCTCCAGGGCTTTTCTATCTGCCAACCCGCCTTTACTCTGCCTGACGCCTTCCCAAAACACCACCCTTTAAAAGAGCACCTCCCCTGTCACAGAAGGGCGAGTCTCACCGGTAAATCCACAAAGAGGCTAAAAGCTGCCAGACCCCCTAAACCTCAGGGGGTAGGAGCTGGACATCCAAGGACAATACACATGGTTTGGATTTTCAAGCCTAAAACTTCCTCCTCATGGGAAAATCACAACAGTTTGCAACAGAGCCAAGGCTGCAGTATACAGACACTAATAATCTGACCCATTGCTCAGTTTGTGGGAAATATATAACAGTTGTTTTTATTGCCTGATAGATTATTCATATGCTTTATAACACCTCATAAAAAAGTCTGGACTTTTTTTCTCTGGGTGAAGTCTTGCTTCTGAATAAAGTAGGACTGATGATCCATCTATGTGACCTTGCTGTTTGTTTGCTGCTGCAGATTAAAGCATGGGAGGAGGCAGAGATGGACAAGCCGATGGAAATCGACGAGATACGAATCGACCCTTCGCCGTTCCAACTAGTGGAGCGAACATCGTTGCACAAGGTTGGAGGAGAAAGTCTTAAATCCCTGAATCCTCATTAAACAGCTGCTCTGCTCTAATTTGGTTTGCTTGAAAGCAGGATTGAACTGCTGGTCACTTTATGCTTTCAGAAATGTTGTGTCTAACAGTTAACGTTTAATCACGTCTAAATGAGGTTTCATTGATTTTCTTATTGCAGTGTGACCACCTGATCTACCTCAGTCTGGTGGGGGGGTTTGGGGGGGAGACTCATGCATTAATCAGTCACTTACAAACAGAGACCAGGCAGAGCTGCAGGCACACTGGAGGTGGAAACCATAAAAAAGAATAACTCTCATTTTCATAATTATACTGACTGATAAATTAAACAGAAATCTAATTTGCATTATAGTTTGTACAGTATGTAAAAGAATGAGCTAAATGGGACTGCAGTTCTTTGTACTGTGGCACTTAATAGAAGTTCGAACCCTCATTTTGCAGTTAAAATGTCTTCCAATATGAGAATGTTTTTGTTGTTATTTTGCTTAATAATAGGCAAAAATCTTGGATTAATATAGGTTGTAGAAATAAATGGAATACACTCTGTATTAACTCTACACTGCACTAAATTGTGCTTAGGGAAGGGCCTTATTGTTGTGTAGTGTGTAATTGTTTTCCTGTCCAGACTCTAATCTGTCTCTAAATATTTAGTCTTTATTAAACCAAACTAATCATCCTAAGAAGAAGAAAGAAAAGGTAAAACAGTTATTATTTCATCCATGTCACACTCAAAATTCTGTAGTTGCAAATTCTTTGATAGTTCAAAGACTTTTTAATTTGTGAGTGTTTGGACAGCTTTTCATCTCTGTTTTAGTTTGTTTTTTCTTTTTTTTGTCGCTCATTCTGACAAAAACTGCCAGGTACTTTGCATGTAAACCTTGATATGCAGAGATTTATAAGTTCCCTGGTTCCAAGTAATTATGACTGAAATACAAATTAATAAGACCTTAAATCCCTACATTAAAAGAAGGTTAAATCTTAAATTTAACCTTAAATCTCTTCAATTTAGACCTTAAATCTCAAATGAGATTTAAGATACGATGGATGGATGGATGGATGGATGGATGGATGGATGGATGGATGGATGGATGGATGGAAGGAAGGAAGGAAGGAAGGAAGGAAGGAAGGAAGGAAGGAAGGAAGGAAGGAAGGAAGGAAGCAAGCAAGCAAGCAAGCAAGCAAGCAAGCAAGCTAAACCCTGGATTTGCACCTTCTCCATGAACCAGAGATGCTTCTTTGCCATGTATTGTTTTACATATACAAGGCATTTGTTCTGGTGATGTTGCTATGGGTAGAAATATTGAATTTAGATCCAGCCACAGTTTTCTGTTTGTAGTGTTCAGTCAGCACTACTGTTAGTGTTAATCTAGTCTGAAAATGTCTTCTGTTAAAAACAGGGCGACAGTGGCGTTGGATGTAGGAGTTTGCCCTGAAATCGAAGGATTGACGGTTCAAGCCCCAACTCTGACTTACAGTGTCATTGTGTCCTTGGGCAAGACACTTCACCTGCATTGTCTACTGATGGTGGTCAGAGGGCACGGTGGCGCCAGTGTACGGCAGCCCCGCTTCTGTCAGTGAGCCCCAGGGCAGCTGTGGCTACAATGTAGCTTGCCACCATCAGTGCAGTGTGTGAGTGTGTGCATGAATGGGTGAACAAATGTAGTGTAAAGCGCTTTGGTCAAGTCTCCTGACTTGAATAAAGGCGCTATATAAGTACATGCCATTTACCATTTAAAAACAATTCATGCTGCATTTGATTTTAATCAAGCCATTGTTTTTTTGTTTTTTTACTTTTATACTAAAACATTTAATAGCTCATATTTTATTTTGCAGGTTTGCTTCCGTTTGCCTTTAAATTTCACAGTGAATGAATAAATAAACTTGCCAGAAACCCATTTTGTTGCTAAGTTTTCTAACATTAATCTTTGGTGATGTTGAGTATTTTACTCCCTCACTAAGTCACCTTCATGTATTCTGCGGTTGTTCGCACCAGAATGGACTCCTATTGTTAGGAAACAAATTGATCCAGGATTTGCAGACGTTTGCAGGATGCTGAAGTGAATAAATACCCTCGTACCCTTATTATTCTTTTTTTGTTATTTCATTTCCATGGTAATTCACACAATACAGTGCTCATTCATGTGCAAAAGGTCCTTGTGATTGAGACGTACTGATGCATACAAAGAGCTCTCCACAGTGGGACCTCAGCCGCTGTGTGAAAAATATAGTTTGTGCATTCAAAATATGCTCAAGGACTTTCTCTTTGTGTGCAGACCGAAGCCACTTTGTTCTCTGTGTGTCTAGACAGAGCAGACAGAGAAGCTCCGGGTTGTTAATCGTCTAAAGTTCAGACAGATAAAAAGGAAACCTTTCCTATTAGAAGAGGTGTTCTCTGTCAGTTGGCTGAAACCTTTTCACCTTTTCTCTGCAGACCCACACATTATTCTCCCTGCTTGGACTAAGTCATGCTTATGTGACCAGCATTGGGAAACTTGTGGGGGTGGTGGCTTTAAAAGAGGTGAGAAATTCACTTGTTTTTTTGTTGTTTGTTTTTTTCCCTGCTGAACACAAATGCTCACTGCTCCTGTTTCTCCTCTTCATAAAAGAAAAAGAGTCAATATTTCTTTTCATAACTCCCACTCTCCTCTGTGGTTTTAGTAAAGCTTTGATATACCCATACCAATTTCACCTATTTCTAATATCTTTTCAGAACTATGATCAACTATCAAAATATACTATATTTTCTAGCCTTACTGCCATGGTAAATTAACTGTTAATTTTAGATGCAGATGTTTGTCCTGAATGTAGGGCTGATTAAGGACAGAATATATATATATATATATATATATATATATATATATATATATATATATATATATATATATATATATTTTTTTTTTTTTTTCTAATAGTGTCCTGTCTGGCAATGTGGCAATAAGAATACTTGTCTTGATGCCAAAAAGAGCCCAAAAGAATTTAGTGTAGCAGTTTGGCGATTACCATATTGCTCCACTTGTTTCATGCATATAAATTTATATTTTTTATGGTATTAATTAAATAATCATGCACAATATTTGCTTTTAGTTGCACTTTAAAGAGTGATATTCACAATACATGCTTATACTTAAAATAAGGTTATTCACACCAAGCATCCATAGTGATTGTATCTACATAGTTTCTTTTGAGCCTAAATAGACTTCCTGCACTGGGTGATATGAGCAGACATGAACAGATGTGTGTGTCATCTCCCGACAGTAACAATTAGAAAGTCAGTCCATATTGTTTTAGCTATTCAGGCTTCATTCACACTACAGGCCTTAATGCTGAATTACGATTTTTTTTTTGTGATATTTTTTTGCGTTGCCGTTCGCATTTTCAAATACATGCAACTTGTATGTGATCTGTGTGAACTGCATTCATACAGCTTAAGTGTCCCATATACGCAGTAGAGGACGCAATGACATCAGAAGCAAACATGCTCTGTGTTTGCAGAGGTAAACATGGATTGTTTTGCTGGAGCACGTCTAGTGATCTCTCCCAACCTTAAAAACTCAATCTTAATGCTTAAAAAAAAAGATTGCTCTCTGCATCATCGTCCATCATTTGTTGTTTTCCTTCCCGCTTCTGCATAGCAAGATGCAGAATAGGGACCTTTGTTGAGTATTAAAGTTCAGGTCGAATTAATGTGACCTGGCCATTCACAGACAGGTCACAGTTGAAAAGATCAGATTCACACCGGATTCAGAACTTCATAGCCAAGCGGCCTGGGTCGCAATGGAAAAATGGGATCTGTGATGTTTAGATTACCATGAAAAGCTCGGATAGATGTTGCAAAAAAATCAGATTTGCGTCACTTCAGGCTGATGTGTGAACGTAGCCTTAGTCTCTGCCCTTAGCATAAAGAAACAGCTTAGTGTTAACCCCCAGAGCTTCCTAACAGAACATCAATATCCTGTTCGATCTAAACACTAACTGGGACACAGAACCAAGGTATGAAACTTTTAAATGCCAATAATATGCTACTTCCTGATAGGTGCATTGTTTATAAGCCTTGAAATAAATCTGATCTGAAGTACTCTGGATTGTAGCACCTGTGACAAAAAAACAGCCCACATATATCACATTTTTTTTATTTTAGCTTCTTCACACTGAATCTTTGACTTCTCTTCTTTTTTAACACCTCCTCAGGGACGTGCTAACTTGCATAGCCTCATTATTTCCTTTTTTATCCACTGTGCATTGTTATAATATCATAGCTCCTGTTGTGTGGTGTTGTTTTGTTAAATATACAAGAGGGGCTTTATTCAGAAATATTTGAGTAAATTAAACATAAAAAAAAAATCATACTTAAAGCATGTATGAAAAATGTGTATTCAACCAAAGTGATCTACTGGCTTATACATTTGTCATGTAAAAGTTGCTTAATTTTGATTTATTATGTATAAGTTCCTGTTTAATGTTTGTTGTTTTGTTCTGTAATATTCTACAGTGTAAAAAGAAAAAGTAAGAAAAAAAAGAGAAAATAAAAAAATTAATGCTGTGAGTTTGGGCAAAGAAAAGGTGAGTTAAATATTTAAAGAGTTTTGTTGGTTCTAAAGTTTATCCTCTGTTTAAGGCACATCTGAATGCTTTCTTTAATTAATTTGCCTTTGGTCTCACAGCCTCTCACAATATTCTATATGTTTGATTTTTGTGAAGGTTTAGAAAACACTGCTTAGTGCCGCTTCATTTGTACTGAAATATCCTCTTTCCTTCTAAGCATTGTCTCATGAATCCTATTTATCACGTATTTACCTTCTGTCCAAATGCAAACTTTTTCAAATTGGAAAAAGTACCAATTCAACATTCATCAGAGCCGGTGATGCTTCAAACATTGAAAAATGGCATCTAGTATGTCTAGTGCTTATAAAATTTGTATAAATGTAGCAAGAAATGCTGCTTTTCTCTTTTAATGAAATGCGCCCTGATGCTCACGTCAAGCATTAAAAAGAAAAATAGGAGCATGCATATTTCTTGGGATCAATGACATCAGACCAATGAAACCTAAGACCAATAGTGTCCCTAAAAAAGTTAAAATCAAACCTATGCCCTCGTCTGTCAATTCTTTCTTTTCACCTACAGCTCCAGAAGGCCATCGAAGGTTCCACGCGCTCCGGCGTCCGACTCCGGCCTCCTTTGGCGAGCTTTCGTGACATCAGCAAACACAAATCTGTCCCTAAACCTCCACCCTCCTCCTCCAGCGCTCCTTCATCTCCCTCTGCAACTTCTCCTCCCTCACCTGAAATGATCCCAGAGCCTCCCCACCCGCCCACCCCTGAGCATCAGCATCAAAATCATCATGATCCCAATGAGCATGAAACAGAGGTATGGATAGAGGGGCTGCCGAAGGAAGCAGAGGAGTGCATCAGTAGCAGCAGCAGCAGTTCAACAAGTAGAAGTTGCAGCTACAGCAGCAACCTCACCCTCCCTCCTACCTCAACCCCTCCTCCTCCCCCATCTCCTTCCACCTCTATCCCTCTCTCCACACTGAGGCCGGCACAAAGACCCCCTCAGGTGGAAGAAGACAGTGATGACGAGCCAATGATTTAGATTACAAACAAAGAATATTTTTATACTGGACATTTTTATTTAAACAGTTTTTTTTTTTTTCATTTCTTAAATAACTTTTTTGCTTTTTTTGTCACTTTCTGTACCTCCTTTTATCTCACAGCTTCGGACTGTTTGTGATTGTTTAGAATTCAACTCACTTCAGATTTTATGAATGAACCTGTCCGTGATGCACCCTCAAAGTCTCATTAAAACTGTGGTGTACCTCAGGGATCAGACCTACCCCACTTTTAATCTAGCAGCACCTACATCATTTGGTATTTGTTGAATATTAAAAATAAAATCATATTGTTTTGGAGCCAAAACAGCAGCATTTAACATGAGAAAGTTTTTACCATACCCTGTATATGAAATATTGCTGCTTATCATTAAGATTAAAAAAAAAAAATTATTGAGAAAGAGTAAATATGTTATGCTTTCAGGTTCTAAGTGGTTAAATTATTCATTTCTGCTTCGTTTAAATCCTTTTCCAGGGAGAAATAGGCTGGATAATTAATTTTAGAACATTTATTGAAAAGAAGCACAATTTTCTGCTGACAAAAATAAACAACACTTCAGAGAAACTTCCAGTGAAGCCATCTTGTCACCTTATTGTGATGTCCAGCTTTTTCAAATTGAATCAGAAGAGCAGCAGCTCATTTTTCAGTCGTTGGTCAGAAAAGCAGTAATAGAGTTGCTCAGTCCTCCATGCAAGATTGACCAAAGCCCCACAACAACCTCTGCACCCTGCTGACCTTGTGGAAGCAGCATTAAAGCTCTTTTCTTCAAGGCTAAGTTAACAAATGAAGCAGATAATGGAGGCAGACAACAACACTCTGCTCAGATCCTTATTTAACAAAGACTGACTCAAGGCTCCTTTAAATGATTTACATGAGAATATTTATAGGCATCATATGATGAAAAATAAACACAGATTTACAACAACCTCAGGAAAGTCATGGTTTGTGCTGTTGACAGGATATGTCACCTACAGAAAATCATAATACAGCAGAATGCTGATGAATGGAAATTCTTTAAATGAGTACATAAATGTATTTATTTAAATAAAGTTAAGTCGGGATGATTTATCTGTGGGACTGGAATTGAAGGGGAATCACAGAAATGCATCTTGTAATAAAGGATGGTGGATTTTCGTCCATGTCTCTGATCTTTGATCAGTTTTCTGTTGTAAGAGCAGTTTTTCTGGAAATTATGAATGCATTTTGCCACAAATTTAGCCAAAAAACAAGATTAAACTAAAAGGCAATCAGACCTCAGTTTTGTTGAAGATTATTCAACAGCTATCCAGGAGTCTTTGTCAGTTATGTTGACTTGCAACAGAGCAATCTTCAGTTGGATTGTTTATATATTTATGCAGAATTGAGGTCCATCTTCTTGCACACATTGTGAGTCAGAAGCATGACCAAAAGCCACCCCTTGTTCTGGTTTGTTGGAGTCTTTTGTTGAGCATTGGCTATCTGAGTGGTCTTTTGAATCATGTTGGAGAGTGTTTAGGTAATCTCTCTAGAATGAGTTCCATGACTGAATTATATAATGCCCCGTCGGTCTTGGCAGATGGCCACTCACACTGAGCCTGGTTCTGCTGCAGGTTTCTTCCTGTTAAAAGGGAGTTTTACTCTCCACTGTTGCTACATGCATGCTCGACATGAGGGATTGCTCAAGTGTCATTGAGCCGATGCAATCAGCTGGTATCCATGAGATAGAAAACTCTGAACCAATCTAATTGTACAGTCTTTTTGAATAATCTGTAAAGTGCCTTAAGATGTCCTGTGCTGTGAATTGGCACTGTATAAATAAACTGAATTGAAAATGCTTTGAAGCTGAAACCATTATCCTCCCCCTCACTACAGTGATGTTTTTTCCCTTTTCATTAAGATTTCTTCCTTCATCCTAACCCTTTAAACCATCTGTCATCTCTGTCCAAAATCTAAATATGTCGATCTTCAAAGGTGTGTGCTTATTTTTGAAATCCGGTTGCCAAAAGTCCAGTTGCCTTCGTAGGTTAGCAGCCTTATGTTATAAAGACAATTTATTGACTGATGATTTTATAAAAGGTATGTGATGGAGCAAAAACAAATAAGAATTTTACCAGTCAAACTATGCTTATTTATTAAAATAGTTAATGTTAAAACACCCTCATTCATCGCTATTAGCCCTTAACCCTTTTTTTGTATTTTAATCTGCATTTTTCTTTTTTTCTTAATCCAATGCTAGTCCTTAAGTGTTTCAGTGAAAGTCTTTAAACCTTTGTTTCACAAAACAATTTTTATCTTTGTTATATTTTTTGTATCTGCTTCTCGAAGAGGAGTTCAGTCTCTAAGTCTTTTAGCAGCTGTTTGTCTTTGTTAAATCTATTTATCATTCATTCACTTATTCATTTTTTAGCGATTCAGCAGATTTCAATGTTATCCAGACATTCATATAACTGCAGATATATTAGATAAATAAAGCTTTAGGTGAATGTAGATTGGGATTTGTTTTTTTTGTTTTTTGTTCAAGTAGAATGTGTGCCTTCATTATAGAAGACTAACAGAGGAACTTTTGCACAAGCAGAGGTGGAAAATCCAGGCTCAGAACCTAAAAGGTCAGAAAGTAAAAGGCCAGATTATTTGCAACAATTTGCTTTCCAGCTCTACAGCACAGTGGGAGGCTCATACCTCCTATTCCTAGGTACTTTCCCTTCACCTTTAGCAAGGCCAACAGTAGGAAAACTATCCAGGGTTGGAGAGGAACTCTAAAGTGCTACGCTGAATTGGGACTGCCTTACAGAGGTCATTACATAACAGGCGAATGACTTGTTCTGGTGAAATTGGCACAACAGCATTACGGGAAAAAAAGATGCCTAGCACTATTTAGACAGTAGTATCATGGAGAAAATTGATGCTCTGTGTTAATTCCCATTGCCATCTGCATTATTAGTAATCAATAATTTAAATAACAACTCAATATAATAAAAAAAAAATCTAAAATACCAGTAATAGTAAGGTACATTTTATTATCATGGTCACATTTGCAAAAATCTTTCTTAATAAGGTTTAGCATATCTTGTCAGAGTGACCCTGATACAAAAGTTATGAAGAGAAAAATAAAAAAATATATCTAATATGTAGTATAACTAGGAAGTGCTTCTGAATATTTTTTTAGACTACATAACTTTCCCAAAGCACCTTAGCTGGATATATCCCCTTTCCAGGAGCAGTTTCACACGGTGGACCATTAACGCCATGTTTAAATAATCTCAGACTTCTGCCTAAAAAACTTTTAAACAGGAACATTTAAACGGTTCAAGAAATAACGGTTTAACAGAAGGATTTCTTGTTTATTTCTACAAGGAAATAATGCAGCTTCTTTATAGGCATCATTTAATACCAAATGAACCCGTTATGAACCTGAGAACAGCTGCTGTCCCACCTGTTGGTGATGAAGAGTTGTTAAAAATGAGACAGGTTTTCAATGCAATTCAGTTTATTTATATAGCGCCAAGCTACCCCTTACTAACAGAAATAAAACCATGTGAAAGCAGCGAGTGCAACAGAAGGCGTTATGTTTTAAAGTATCACTGAAGGAATAACTTAATTCTGACGGAGATGGCTTGAGCAGCACCAGCGGTAGCTCAGCTGTCAAAATAGGAAGTGAACAAGATTCATCTTGCCAACAGCAGCAGTAACTATACAACATTTCTCTCAATATTAAAGTACATATTATCATAATGTATATGTAAAAAAAAAAAAAGTTTTGGTTTTCTTTAGGGGCCACATATTGGTGCCTAAAATTTCCCAAAGATTGTTTTCTATCTAAAACTAATTTGGCATGTAAACATGCGGTTCCTTATTTAAACTCTAACCGATTTTGGAGAAAAAGGTGAAATGACAACACAGACGTGGAGGTGAAACATTGAAGTCAGATTGAGTCTCTTGGGATGCTCAATTCTAATTTATATAAAACATTAATCATCGATCATGTCATCACAAGCATTCAATATTGCGGAGTACTATGTAATCATATTGATTATAAATATTTATATGACAGGACCTGTCAAATACATAAAAATTGGTTATGAGCAGCACAAATCAAAGTAATTTAAAGTCATAAGGAAGACATCTTTAAATGTCAGATCATTCTGGCTTATACATGTATATAAATGTACTCTTTAACAGACAATATTGTCCCAAAACTTAGAAAATTTCTATTTTTGGGGGTTTTTTGTCTGTGATTTTTTATGCAGGCCAGTTAGTTATACGTCACACCTCGATTCATATGTCGCAGCTAATATACACAACGGTTTAAATAATAAATAAGAATCCTTATTTACTTTGTCATTGAGTTAGACTTAGAGAGATTTTATTTTGTCATCTTGCACAAACAAGTATATACAAAAAGAAATTTCGTTTTAGCACAGCTCTCTAGACATTTTTTAAAGTGCAGTGCAAAAAAACAATTCCTCTTGGTGTTGCTTCCGTCGTGGAAAAGATCTTGGATCTTCTGGCTGTGGTTCTGCTTCACTGATCTGATGGCTAGGTTTAAGTTGCACTGTTCTCAGTGCCTCTTTATCACCAGACTTGAAAGCTGAGTTCCATGCTTGTAGCGATTTCCGAACCTCTCCATTCATCCAGGGTTGTTGGTTGGCCTGGGTGGTGATTTTTTTTTTTTTATGCTGACGTCCTCAATGCATTTGTTCATGTAGGCTGACTCAGTCATGGCATCCTCATCAATATTTAACAAGTTATCATATGTTGTCATAAGTTGTCATATGTTGCTGCAGCCTTGAAGATGTTCCAGTCAGAGCATCAAAACAGTCTTGGAGTTTCTCCATGGCGCCCTCAGACCACACTCGGACCTCTTTAACTGTCGGTTTAGCCCTGATCAGCTGGGGCTATATGCAGGGATAAGCATGACCGAGAGATGATCTGATGATCATCATGCATCTTTGATGATAGTGTAAACCAGGTCTAAAATGTTTTCACCCCGTGTTGCAAAGTCTACAAGCTGGTAAAAATGAGGGAGATCAGTCTTCAAATTGGCCTGGTTAAAATCCCCAGCAATTATGAAAACACCCTCTGTGTGCGCAGATCGGAGCTCAGAGATAGCCAGGTATAGAGTCTTCATGGCCTCTTTTGTATTAGCCCTGGGGACACGTAAACAGCAGTGATGCTAACCACACTGAACTCTCTGCCCAGATAGAACGGGCTGCAGTTAACAGTCAGAAATCCGATGTCTGGAGAGCAGAAGCTGAAGACCGATCTAGCATTCTTCCACCAGCTGTTGTTGGTGTAAACACAGAGCCCACCACCCCGAAACAAAGAACCGCTTAGTTCTTTGTTTCTATCGGTGCACTACAGTGTTAGCCCCTCCACAACATTTATGTGTATGAGGGAGGAGACTCATCCACGACCTACGACACAAACCTCTCCTCCTCTTGCATGTTTCCATTGTCCATAGCGTTCCTTGACAGTGTCATTGCTAAGTGCTACTTGGTACTAATGTCATTTCCCATTTAGAACCTACTAGGAATAAGTTGCTAACTGGTTAGTAAGATCCTTCCGACAAACCCTCCACAACCAAACTTGCTTGCAAACCTTTCGCCACAACAATCCCACCCTCTTGATAAATGACCAACGGTTGGAACAGCTGTTCCCTAGGACAGTGGTGAGAAGTTCAGTACCCATTTTATACCTGTTTTGTGAGTCAACTGTCATGGTTGCCAGGCAACAGAGCGAACAGCGGTAAAAGCTGGAAAAGGCTGGATCTGTTTGAATCCACAGCCAAAACTCTTTTTATTTTTCACGGACCTCGAAGGACCCAGTCCTTGTAGACCAGGTTCTGGAGGAGGCAGCCTCTGGAATTTAACACACCGGATGTCCCCTGCGCATAAAAGACAGCGTCCCGCTTTCTTTTTTTCCGTAGGGTGTTATAATAAAACCGGTGACCATTATATTTCTCTTTTTGCTGCTTACCAAAAGAGAATGAATGCTGTCAGAGATGGCTCTCAGCGATCAGAGGGTTGAATAGGTGCCGACTGCAAGTTGCCGTCTGTGCAGTGTACATTTCCTATCAGGTCCGTTTCCATACAAGTCGGGAGAGCTAGCTTCGGCTGTTACTAACTGGATTTAATGTGTAAAGTTATTAGATTAAAACAATTAGATACCTTGTGAATGAAGGTCATTTTATATTAAGATATGAAGATTTTGCTATAGATGTTATAGTTGTGTTTAGCAGTTTATGTAAAATAATCGAAAAGATCAGCAGAATGCAACTTACTTTCCCATTACATACAGATATATTCTTGTTTTTCGATTACTATATTTTTGGACAACAAACAAAGGAACTGGCCTAAAATTAGGAACTAGTGGAGTTGTGCATAATGCACATTTTGTAACTGTTGTTTTTGGTTATCTTTCAGAAGGTTGTCAACCTGGTTTTGACTCTCATTTGAAGCCTAAATTGGAGAACGCATCATATTGTTCATACTAAAACTGCTGAAATACTTACCTGGATGTTTTTTTTTTATCCAATATGAAAAAAAAGTTTAGAATAACCAGCACTGATATGAATTTGTTTCCCAGAATATATATTTAACACACAAAGCAGATACATTCATACACACATACATACAGTCTGACATTCATACATATACATATAATTTTCTTGTTTTTTTATTTTATTTTATTGTAAAAAACAAACAAAAACAAAACAAATTTGTTATATTATTACTTTTATACTGCGTTATACTGTGGGCTATGTCACTGTTAAAAAGCATGCGTTGTTTTGGTTGTGGTCAGATGGTGCGTTTGCAAATAACTTCAAGTGCATGTCTCAGGTTGCTTTGAGGTTTGAGTTTGCACCTTAAGACATTTCCGCTTGCATTAAGCAGGAACGTATTTCAACCAAAATGCATCGGTTAGCAAACCAAACAGCTCCCCAGCAAATTCGGACTCCTGTTGCTCCAAGAAACATGAACAAAACACAATTTTTTTATCCATAATCATTGTATTGCTTAGGGTTTTGTTTTTTTCATTTGCCCTTTCCATCATTTCATAGTTTTTTTCCCCCTTTGTTTTGGGAAATTTTGCATTAATCCTTTCTTCCCGTATTTGGTTTCCAGTCCTGGCTTGTTAGTTCAGTTGGTCCAAACAGAATTAGTCTGCTGTTTCATCCGCAGTCTAAGATTTCACGTCCCTCCTCTCCTTTAATGTTTCTCGTTCTTGGTCGTGTTAGTCCACGCTTTTGATGTTAAATTGGGAGACTGAGGGTTGATGGCATCTAGTTTGTATACATTACATCCAATATTTCCAGCTGAAGTAGCAATTACTTGGGTGTATAAAGGTAAATATTTAAGAGAAGGAAGGTATGGGGTAGTAGCTTGCTTAGTTAAGTTTTAGTCTTTTTGAGACCAAGTGACTCAGTTTGTTGCAACAACAAGAATGGAGCCCTCCTCCGCTTCCTCATCTCTTTCTTCAAGGGATTGGACGACGCAAGGGGTGACATCGAAAGGTATTCTCTCTGAAAGAGGTTCTGTGGTCTGCGCTGGTATGCCTGGGCTTGAACCTCTTGTGGGCGGGGCCTCCTCCCTCATTGGTGATGGTGTTAGAGAGCATGGCTCTGGCTCTAAGGTTAGTGTTACTTCCTCTACCTGTAAACATAATCAACATGATTTATAGTAGTTTAATTCTGGTGATGAATTTCATGTAACAAAGGCTTTAATCTTCATTTAAGGGATGGAATTCACACAATTACACTCTGTCTTTTGGACCGAATTGGATCACATCTACAGTAGGTACATCTACCTGCTCTGTTCACAATGAATCAAACTTTTAAACAAAGGTTTTAAGGAAAGAAGTGCTTTGAACACACCCTTGTCAGTTCTTCTTCCTCGTCATATCGCTCAAGAATGCCTTCAGTTTCAGGTTCTGGCTCCTCTCCAACCGTCTCTACCACACCTCCAACCATGTCAAGCATCTGTGCACTCAGCTGCCCAACAATCTCCACCTAAAACCAAAGGAAGTTAGTTGTTTTATTTTAGTTGTTTTCCTCTTCTTTTTTTTTTTAGATGTAAACAATCTAATTTTGTCTCATCTAACATGTATACTTTAATATAAAACCCTGCAATCCCAGAGAAAGTCAAATAATATGCAATGTAGATTGACAAGCAGTTTCCTGTCGTAACCTAGCTTGGATTTTCTGTGCAGGACATCAGGGATACGCAAGACTCTGGAAGATGCAACAGACGCAGATGCTGGATCCAAATGCCTGGAGTTGTAATCTTGCAGACTTTCAGACATGCCGCAAAGGAGGCCAGGCTGATTTACACCGGACTGTTCTCCAAAACTCATCAAATCCATCTCAAGCAGCCATGCAGACCTCTGAGAGTTCGCCATGCAGACCTTCAGCCTGTCTCCTACCTGGAAGATATCCCTTGCAGTTCATCACTCACTGCACTACAGCTGTGTGCTAAATAGGCCTGCTGATATGAGAAAGCCAAACCAATAAGACAAAGGAATTAGTATATGCATACTACCTTTACCTTAATTTGAGGTAAAACAAAGACATAAACCTTCGTAACACAAAACAGTTTGGCAGTAATGTCCATGATGTGTCAAAATATGGTAGTGACCGAAAACACTCTGTATGCTTATGACTGGATATGCTGTCAAACACCCTTTGTCCTTGTTCTCCGCCACATCTCTTCTGTCAAGCCCCATTAAACCATCAGTTTGCAAATGTAACACCTGAATTCTGAGCCATAGACAAGTGCATACCTGATGGGCCTCTACCTGCGCCGCCCCCCACAGGTCTGCTATCCGGGGGTGAGTAGGAGGACCCAGACTATGGATGGTGCTGTTGGGAGTGACTTGGAGGGAAGGGGAGGCACTGTGTAGCCTGTGCTCTGACGACTGAAAAAGGAAAAACCAAAAGAAATCAGAGGAAGAGGATATGTGAGTATTAGACCATTTGCACAGTGAGACCAATGATGTAGTCATCGTCGTCATCAATTTAATTCTGAATCATAAAGGCATATCACAATGCGCTGTAAAACAGCCAAAAGTACAAGACAATTAGATGTCGTCACAAAAGCTTTGATGTAAAAAAAAGTTTTATGTGTAACTTCATCTGTATACTATTGTGTAGCATATTTCACTTTGTCCATAGAGTACAGCGTACAGACTAATTTCCAATGGGGTCACGTATCAGTAAACCTTCTCAGAGAACTGGTCCCTGACCTTTAAAAGTTGTTATTTCAAAACCCCCAATTATTTCTTGAGGTCTAAGAGTGCAAACAGCAAAGCAGCCAGCGGTGCTGACGATCTCTCGGGGTTTCAGAGCTCATGACTCACTTTCTTTGGCAGAACATTTTTCTTCTAACTAAGAAGTAAAATTAGGCAGCTGATTTCCAGCAAAAAAAGCTGAAACTAATTTTAAAGATGGAGTCCAAGCAATAACACAATGTGAAGCAGAAATGTTAGCAGCTGTCCTGCTGATTTCGTACATGTGATGCCACCACGTTCAGAACTTTTTCTGCAGTCACATGCAGTTCAACCAAAAATTCAATTCCAAGTGGTCAAATTAATTAGCAATCAGGATAAACCTGTTGTACAGTTCCTTTAACCTGGTTAATGACTCAATGGCAGCCATTTTTAAGATTTGACAGAAGTATTTACACCATGTACTCCAACCAGTGAAGTTTAGTCATCCCCTTAATAAATAGAAAACACTTTTGTTATCTATTCATTAAGGGGATCCTTGTCGGATCAAAATGATCATTTTTAATGTGAAATATTTAAGACCAGCAAAAAAGCTAAATCAAATAAGGCAAATGTTTATCTTGGATTTTAGAAGGGATTTTCTTCCAAAAAGAAACTTTATCATCAAGCAGTGTTTTAATATGCTCACCCACGTAACTCTACTACTCTTACTATTCATTAATGTCCTATTGTTTGGTGGAAAATAAAAGCGATTAGATCAAAGCCTAATTTTTTGTTTGGCCGGTTTAGATTTCCCCAGAACTCTAGCAAAAGGGCAGAGAAAACCAACTTCAAACCACCCTTTGATTTTTGAAGACCTCAAACATATTAAAGTGTTTGCTTCGTACCTGTTGTTGGTATTGCAGAAACTGTTGCTGCTGGTAATGATGAATCTGTTGTAGCTGCTGGAGTTGACTATGTTGCTGCAGTGTAAGCTGAGTCTGGTTCTGCTGAAGGTAACTGCCCACTGTGCCTTCATACCCATCTCCAGGGGTTCCCCCTGCTCCACTGCCACCACCTGCAGCATCCACATAAATGCCTGATTACCACCGCTCGCAAAACCATGCATACGCTAAGAGACTCATTTAGTAACAAAGGTTTTAAGAAGTTAATTACCGGCAGCCATAATGTAGGAGCCTGCTGCAGGGGAGACCAGGCCTGAAGGCTGACTGGTGATTGGGTCCCAGGCATCAGAGGAAGACAGGCAGTACAGTCCCTGTGAGACGTAGGTGTGAGGCCAGACCTCTGCAGAGGAGTGATGGAGCACCTGGTCTGTTCACAGATGAACAGAAACACAGAGATGTGAATTACTGAAAATAACAAAACATGTTTAAAAGGGGAAAGGAACCATAAAGTTAATAGAGAGATAATGTTTTTATAAAAGTTTCAAGAGATTTTCACTAATTGACTTTAATAGGACTTTGGTTGACCTAACTATTTGCTTTGCACGATGATATAAACAAACAAAGTGGAAATGCATCTCCTCTGAGCTATGATGTTATGATCATTGCCGTGTTTGTGTGCCGTAAATGTGTGTGGCTGTTTATGCTAAATGAAGCCTCGCAGAGCCCCATATGGTGGTGCTAATGAAAGAAAAACAGCAGTGCTAAGTCCTTGTGCTAACCTACAGGGCCCCTGAAGGCTAAGGCAGAGAATTACATTGCTAAACACCAGTGAGAAATCAAATTCATTCATTTCACAGTAAAGGTGACAGCCTGGTTAGAGGTGCACATTTACTATGGAACCTTATGGAGGAGCTAAAAAGCCCTAAAAATGTCCTACAATTCCAAGTTTTAACTTTCTTTAACACAGTTTTGCAATGCTTATGTTATGTTTATGCTTTACTGATGATAAAAAAGACTTTTTAGCCTTTTCTAAGCTTTCCTTTGTCTATTTGTGCTTTATTTCAGATGAAGCAGTTAACACACACTAATATTTCAAAACTTTTCTTTTTTTTCTTTTTTGTTGGACTACTGAATTCTATGTCCTTCCCGTTGTCCTTTAGATTTTTTTTTAAGTCCGCTCCCCCACATAGTGCATGTTGAACTGCATCTGATGTTTCAGAAATGACAGGCTGTCATCCGGATTTGTCATTCGGATGTTTCTGAATGCCCTGTAGGAGTGAGAAGCAGGAATGTGCAGCAGTGTGGCTGACCTCCAAAAGTACTTGACTTTTGGATGAAAGGATGAGTGACAAGGCTGTTCTTTAGTTTGCCAACTTACATTCAGAAAGTGACGGTGACACTAAAGATACATGACTAAATAAGAGATATTTAAATTTAATGATTTTGTACAAGAAGCAGCTGCTGCAGGGGCACAAACTCTTTTACGTTTTGTTGGTGTTTAGACTCTGTTTGGGACGCATTAGGTAGCTATAAAGTCTTGCAGGAATGTCCTACATGGAAGCTTAATTTGAAGATATGTAATACAACCAAATCTTGATGTATGAAATGTTGGGTAGACATACAATGAAGCACTGCTTTCTGGCACTTCCTAATCAATAAGAAAATTATACATGAGTGAAAACCAGATGCCTTGTTTCCATTAAAGTAAACAAACAGACGTAAACATGCCCTGCTCATAATTCTTTTCTCTTAAAAAGAGAAAGTCAG